AGGGACAGCTCAGGTCGGCTGTTTTGGGGACAAGGTCAGAGAGGCCAGATTGAGATGGTTTGGACATGTGCAGAGGAGGGTTATAGTGGTTATATTGGTAGAAGGATGTTGGAGATGGAGCTGCCAGGCAAGAGGTCAAGAGGAAGGCCAAAGAGGAGATATATGGATGCGCTAAAAGAGGACATGAAGTTAATTGGGGTGAGAGTAGAGGATGCTGAGGATAGAGTTAGGTGGAAACAGATGATTCGCTGTGGCGGCCCCTAATGGAAACAGCCGAAAGTAGAAGAAGAATTAGGCTATTATCCAGTAATATAATATACCTTAATATGAAATGCACCATTCTGTATTGTATGTAATTTTACTTTTGGCACTTTAAAGTATATTTTGATGCTAATACTTTTGCAGGACTTTGACTTGTGACAAAGTAGTTTTAGTATTGTATTATTTAAGTACCCTAAAGGATCTGAGTACTTCTTCCCCGTCTGGTTTGTCATATTTGTTGTAAATGTCATGCTCTGCTTTTTGAATGACTAATATGAACTGGCCAATGACAAACCTGAACAAAAAAGAATGATTGCTCTCAGTGATCTTGTAGGTCTTCATCCAGCAGTGTTGCAAACATTTCCCCTGATAGTCCATCACTGATCCTTTTCCCCACTTTAAGATGAAGTGCTGGAAAAAAAACTGTCACTCTTATTTTATTGACTGAATTCTTTGATTCATCCCCGTTAATTTGAATGTATCCTAACTGTAGTATCAATTTAGGCTTGTATTGTATGTGAATTAAAAATATACCCTTCTTTAGCCTTCTTTTCTAGTACGCTAATGTAAAATATACTATGGAATCAGGAAGCTTCAAAGACTGTATTATAACCAAACCTCCTTTCCTCTGCATGTAGCCTAACATATACTAAAGAAAAGAAAAGAAAAAGAAAGAAAGAAAATACCACTGTTTCCTGTACCGTACAAAGCTCACATACACTAATATTATGTTAACAGTAGTTTGTGGAATCGTTTTGCTTAGTGTCCTCCTGACACCCACCGCGCATGCGTCAGTGGTAGAGTTGGGCTGACATTCTACAAGGTTTTTTTTTTAATCGCAAATAGGCTATCTAAATTACACTAGTAGATCACTACATTATTCTACATATATTCTATATCTTCTATCATAAAAATGCGTTTGCATTGCGCTAAGAGTTTGGTAGGTTTTTATTTTATGCTGTCACTTTATTTAGAAGAGCCCAACTGTGGAGCTGTTAAGACAGACATGTGCAAAATAAGTGTGACATATGTTACAAAAGGTTTAGTGTCAGTTGGGAACACATGAATAAATGTCATACTGGGAAAAGTACCTGCCCCATGTGAGTACTGTGGGGGATTTCTCGCAGTCACGTTTTTTAGACGTAGTACTAATAACACCTCTTTGTTGGTATCGTCCAAAGACTATAAATATTCAGCTAAACCGCTATCTAAGCTGTGTACTGTGTGTAGCCTCGGTTGCTAAGGAACCCTCGAATGCAGGTACTACATCAGGACAGCTGCAGCATGCTAGCTTTGCAAACGAGACTGCGTAATCAAGCTAACGTTACAACTAGTTTGAATAAACATAATCGACCCAGGCTTTACATTTATTATCAATCCTTTTCATATTCCAGTCTAACGAGTCATGGCTACAACCAGGTACAATGACAAGCTATTAAACGTTAGCAAACAGACCGAATTTAAGCAGACTAATGCTAGTAACATTAGCGTCAGTTATGGCACTTGTTAACAGAACCGCTTAGTGCTCCACGAGCTGCATCGTGTCGCTGAGCTAGCTTGCTATATACTTTGTCTGCAAGCTTTACTAATTAGATTTGGCCAGTAAATCTAGCTTGATGTTAATCAGTTCTATGGCGTTAATGACAAATAGTTGTCCTGTGGCTAACGTTGGCGATAATACAGATAGATTTTCAATTGGCTAACGTTTAGATAAGCGCAAGTTAAACTGCGTAGCACTGACTGAAACTTGTTTGCTGCTTTGCACGTTAATAAAGACGGAAAGTAGCCTTAAGTCAAAACTAATTAACTCACTAACTCTTAATAATGCTGTTGTGTCCTAGATGCCTCTTGTTGCTTTGAGATTGTGATGGCATTAATTTGTAGTAATGTTAGTTTTAAACCAGCGAGTGGTTGACAGCAATGGGCTTCACTGGCTTTGAGCAAATGGAGTCGTTGTGTTGGGTGCAGAGCTCTTCTAAGTGACTGCTGCCATAGGGTGACGTTCGGTTTGGTTTGGTTTGTACCCCCTGGTCCGGTGAAGTAGCATGTCTTCTGGTATGTGGAACTAGGCTAACAATGTAGCACCATGTTTGCTACAAGGAGGAAGGTCCTGGAGGCCACATCTGCCTGCTAACAGCAAGTGTTGAAGCAAAATCTCTTCAGTGAGCATTCTTAAGTGTCTTAATTTAGATTAAGAAACAGAATTTGAAAATGACATATTGCACATGAATACATGGTTTAGTGTTGGCATTAAATGTACCCTACAGATTGGGTGTTCTGCACTTCCAAAGAAGGCTAAAAGTGCATGTTGCATTGTCAGAGAGTGGATAAAGTTTCAGTTTTATTTTGAGATGCACACTTTTATGCTGGGCAAAGGTCCACATGGATTTTTTGCATGGGCCACTGCAGATTAGTTTGTGAATTCAGTAGCCATAACATCTTAAAAGCTAATTATATTCTTTGCATAATGAAAATATCTGAGCAATGTGTGTTAATGAAATGGAGATGCAGGCTGTCTTGAAGTCCTCTATTCCTTGTAGTTAGTTGCATCACATAATTCTGGCTTTGCTTTGTAATATAAGCTCTTGAGACCTGGTCACTGCCCCCCCCCCCATACTGTGGCATGCTTACAACCCCTGTCCCCATTCATTTTTCACACACTTCCCCCATCCTTTCCCTTTTCTTCTTTCCCTCCCCCTTCCATTCTTTTCACAACTTATTTGTGCTTGTTGGGCCCAACAGACTTTGCCATGGAGTCATCCCAAAGGTTTTTACTTGGGACATATTCTGTGTTCACTTTGAAATCACACTAGTTGGTGTTTATTATTCCAGTAAGAAATGGCCATCTTCACTGTACATGATGGAATGTGAAGTGTTTCTTTGTTCTGGGTTTCCTCACATCTATGTGTGCATTCTCTGCCTTTTGTGAACATGAACTTCTGCCTCTGCCTTTCATCTGTGAATGAGGCAGCATGTAGATCTGAGCCTGGGTCTTGCATGAATATGTAGCCATTATATGGAGCACATTTATGCTGGCATTCTGTTGCTATTTCTGTGAGCTTTTCAATGCTACAACAGTTGGAGCATGGTGGAGCAAAGACCCCATTAGCAGCTTTTACACTTTTCTCCAAGGCTTGATCGATCTGTTAGGCAATTTATAAGTTACTGATCAATGAAGTGCTTTCTCTGCAGTGTGTGTGACCATTTTTATTTAATCATTAACATGGTTTCTATCCCTTCTTGTCTTTTCCTCTAGGTGGAATAAAGATAATGGTGGCATAATGAATAACCTGGTCAATCTGGCTGGTTGAGGTGTAGAGGGAACACCACAAACCATGCCAGGATTTTGACTAAATTTTACACTGCCCCTAATAAATCTCATCATCCTCCATGTGTATCCCTGGATCGTAACTACAGCTATGGTAACTCTTATCACAGAGCAGCTTCGAAAACAGAGTTTGGAAGAACCTTATCACAAAGCTTTCTCATTCAATGTGAATGTGGTGAGTTGGATACAAAACTTAATCTTGGATACCTCTAGTTTCTTGATTCACATGAATTGAACTTAAATTTCTGTGTCCCAGTCATTACCTGCTGTGGGCTCCAGTCCCACTGTCTCATGGAGTGCATCTACAGTGGGAAAAGGCAAGTGCATCAAAATAAGCATTTGCATGTATCATTGGTGAAATCTGTCTCATGTCTGTCTTTTGGCATTTTCAGAGACTAGCTCAACTACACACCCATCATCTGAAGCCAACCTTCTGGATGATTCCTGTGGACTTGACTCCCGATGGCTCCCTTTGCAGTGTGGAAAACCCCTCCAGAGACCAGAGGTTTCCTTCACAGACAAGGGTTTCCAAAGCTCACCTCCACCACCCCCTTCAAAACGCCACTGCCGGTCCCTTTCTGTACCAGAAGACCTATCTCAGTGCCGTTCTACCTGGCATCCTAGTGCGTCCAAGGTTTGGATTCCAGTTAAACGTGGCTGCCAAAGTGGAGGAGCATCCATTTCAGGCTCTGGAGCCAGCTCTCTGCCACTTTGTCATCCCAGTTCCTCTTTCACCTCTTCCTCGCTACACTCATCTTCTAGCCCTACCTTCTTTAGTTTGGCAATGTCCTCTGACTCCCCACTACCATGGAGCTTCCCATGGGACCCCTGTGACACATTGAAAGGAGCCTGTTCTGCCTCATTTGCTACTCCTTCTTCCTGCTCCTCTTCGCCAGCCCCCCTGATTTCTCGCTCAGCACTTCATCGCCGCTTCTCCCTCTCACCCGTGCACATTCAGGATGCCTCTGCTGTGCTCCTGCCCCCTCAGCCCTCCCCTTCTTCTGCTGTGATATATGGCTGTTCTGGCATGGAACACCCAGCCCTGTCTCCATCTCCCACTTCAGCCTGCAGTACACCATCCTCTTCTAGGCGTGACCTGCACCCAGCGCTGCCACGATGCCACTCACAGCCCTGTGACATGCGCAAACCTCGCTTGAAGAGGCGTCATGACTCGGATATCCTGCCATGCCCCAGGCCAGGCCTTGACTTCAGCAAGATGACACAGGTGAGCAAAGAAGTGTAATGGGATAACAGGATAGGTAGATTCTGTCAGGCCTGAGATCAGCAGTAGACCTGTACTAGCACCCACCACCAATTGTGTTTTATGGACACTGCTCATACTTGCCTCCATACTCTGAACTCTATGCAAAAGGTGGTCTGATACATATTTAACACAGTTATCATGATTAAATTACATTTATATAAACTGGATTTAAATAAGAGTGACTGAGTTTTAGCGTTAATGGTGTTTAAGCTGATCCTTTGCTTGTGTTGGTCTGGTCATATACCCCAGCCAAGCCCATTACTTCGTATCAGTTAATCCATTCAGCCACTGCCATCCATGTAGACTTTCTGTACCAGCCTATGTTTTATTACCTTTGGGTGTGGATTGTGGAGATGTATGCTCATAATTTGGCTGCAGTCAAGGTATAGTCAGCAATTGTAGCAATGTCTACATTTTGATCACCGTGAACAGAAGAAATTTCATTTAGGAGCTCGTAGCATCACTTAATTCATGAATGTGCGATATACCAATGATACTAGTGACTGGGGGAAGAGTCGATGCCACAGGAGACATGTCAAAATACTAGCAACTGGGGTACAATATGTGGCTAACCAGCTATAGATTCCACTGTTCTCTCACAACAATCTCCAGCTGATCTAGCTGAAGTCATAACCACCACATACATCTGGACTAGCAATTTAGCTAAATATCTCAGGGAAAGTTGACTTGGCAAACCAGCTAATGTGACAGATAATGGCCAAACATTACCACAAAGATTAGCCTATTACCATAATGATTTTCAGTATCATATAGCAAATAATTGACACACCTATCAGCAGAAAAAGAGCAACCTCTGTGCCTTTCTTCATCCTTTTTAGATCCTGGAACTCTGTATTTTTGGAAAGCATCAGGTAGCTATGTTTACATGGGTCTTTGAATTTATTGGATGGCCCCATGGCATGTAGCATCTCATTTTCAAGGGAATCCCACTTTGTCTGGTTAATGTTATAGTCCTCCTTATTAAGACGTTTTCTGAATTTTCCAGCGCATCCCCCCCTTCCCAACTATGCCTGTGCAAGAGTGCCTCCTTATGCTGACTGGATGAAATTACCCAGCCTGACTCCCCCCCCCACCCCACCTATTACAGAGCAAGCAAAGCACACGACCACATGGGGTTTGTGGAGCACATTAACTGAAAGGCCAGGCAGAGAAATGTTAGAACAATTTAGCTGACTCACAAAATGTGTAATGAATTGCTGACTATACCTTTAATGAGCACTGAGAATGAAACTGCCCCATTTTAGTGAGTTGTTTTAGCACATGTTAAATGCCAATTTGTTGCAATAACATAATACTCAATGGCGATTCTTTTCTTCTGTATAGATTGGTAATCGTGAGACCCTGGTGTGTGGTAAAGGTGGCTGCATAGTCCCAGTGTCTTCCCAGACAGAGCAGTGCTTCTCCCCTGCCGAGTTCCCGGGACAAGCAATCATTGGGCCACTAAGTGAAAGTGAGGAAGATGAAAGAAGAAGGACTGCAATAGATGGAGGACAAAAGATGGTTTTTGAAAGGGACTGCACTGAACTGGACTTGAACCTTATAGAAGAAAACTGACCACTCCTTGGTGCTCCCAGTGTGAATACTGCATTCATGACCATGTTAAGCACAGCTTTAGGCTTTGTGCAATCTAGTAGAATTCTTGGGGAATTGCTGCCCTTTGAAGGCACACCCAGAGTTCATAATCAAGAACCAAGCAATTAGGAGCTAATATCAATTTACAATGTTATGATTGTAACACTCTAGCTAGTTCAAGATTTCAACATTTTACAAAAATGTCAGAGCACCTGCCTGTTCAGTACTCAACATGAGGGAAATGCGCATGGGCAAAACAAGTTTTCATGCACACAGTTTTGGCTAATATTTCATATTGATGATACAGACCTTAATTATAATTAACCATTGGTGTGCATCTTGCAATTATGTATCCTCATCAAAGAACACAAAGTATGCAGTAAGCAGAATGTTCCTAATGTTTCCTCATAAGTGATTTTAATACACACTTGAAGCCAATAGGTTAATAGGATGGAGATAAGCATTCCACAGTTCATCAGATGCCGCTGTAGTCTACTGTTGTACTTGGGTCCATGAATGCGTGTGAGCTGCTAAAGGACAATGTTGCCATGTGTAGGCCAAAGTAATATTCAAGTATCCCAGACAAAAGAATACTATATGTAAATACTCTCCTGTAGGTTGAACAGGACACATTCCAGGATTTTGCTGCGGTTCCTTAATTTCATTACAGACCCTAAAAAGGTCTTTTTTTTTTTTTTTTTTTTTTTTTTTTTTACACTGCTGTTCATTACTTTAGCGTCTCCTGTTTGAGCAACTCAGCGTTCTCAAAGGCAGGTTTTTCCTTTAGAAGACAAGAGAGCTCTCCCTTTCTGTCCATGTGGTCTGTTTTTTTTTAGGTTTTGTCAGTTGCATGGACAATAACACACCATGTCAACAGTCAAACTGATAATGTACACTGACCATGCTTTAATCTTAAAATCCAGAGTTCTTGGTGCTTCAGTTTTCATTTCACAGCCAGACATTTTTGTAGACTCCATTTGCGCTGAATGATATATTTTTGAGCAGGTGGTATAGTAAATTCAATAACTAAGTTGATGCTGCAGCTGGACTAGATAGGGCACAATGTACTGTACAGTTGGTGAGTACACAAGTCAAGCCAATTCTGAGTATGTGACAAAGGTGGTAGTGACGCATATGACTTGGTGGCCTTTCAGTAATGACTTTTCATGTTTCCAGATGGAAGTATTCCTATTGCACAATTTATGTACTATTAAAATTTAATAGAATGGTATTTTTCCCCAAAAATGTGGCTTGTCTTTATTCAAAAAGGACTTCCTGCTTTTATTCAAAAACAGAAGGTGCTAGATTAGATTATTCTGACACCTAGTGACTGATTTCAGTATAGTCCTGATGCAGCATAAAAATGTACGACGTATAGTTAATTCTGAGTTTTTAATAGCACTTGTACATACCAATATTTTATGGTTGGGGAAAGTAACATTTACCTGAATGAGGTCTGATAGTAACTGACTCGTTCTTTTAAAACACTTAATAGCAGACGAGGTACACTATAAAAGTTGATGATTTTATAAACAGACTTGGTACACGGCGGAGGCTTTACGTCTTTGTCAGATTAAAGTCGTTCCGCCGTGGAACGTGAGGGCGCTCCTTCCAGTCCACTGTGGGTTTTTTTTTTTTTTTTTT